ATGTAAAAAAATTGTATTGGTTAATACATTTTTCTATAAATAGCGGATATTATTAATTTTCATATAACAATAATAAAAAAAGGTTATTCAATATAATGTCCCGGTTTGATGATTTTAAAATCGAGCAACCATTAACTATAGGCGACTATATGAATAGTCAATAAGAATAATTGTATAACTTTAATGTAAGAAAGCTTTGCTGATTCTTATATGACAATAGYATAGGTCCATAAAAGTTTTATTAGAGTCTTGGGTATGTGAAATTTAATATTTAATGACACATTTAAGTAAAAGAGAGATGTAGGATGCAAAGTTATTTCTATAATTTTCTAATCCTGCTGACACCTTACAAACACATTTAGGGTAACTGAATTACAGATTAAAGAAAAAAGAGCAAAGTGATGTGAAATGTAGATAACTGACTCATTAGTCATTGTTTCCCAATTTATCGTTAAACWAATTTGAAAGTTAGTTTAGAAGTTTTATGTGTTTTTGGACATGATGTATGCCTAAAGTAACTAATTCTACATTTTTTCCARGGTAGTATTAGCTATTAGGGTTAGGTTTTATAATAATAATTTATAATATGTAGTTATTTACTTGTATAAGTACTTTTTAATATGTTAGATATTGTAACGTATACTATACTATTGCTAACTTTGTACTACCAAAGTACCAAATAATAAATACAACTTAATAGTTCTTAGTACATTTATTATATCGAGAGCTCTCCACAGCACGAACTGCGATAAACAACTGAACATTAGATAATACATATTATTAAATAACCTTACAATATTTACTTATTATATTTTTATAAGTTATAGCATATATAGTAGGGGCCGCTAAACAGTCAATTACTTGTAATTTGAAAGTGTATGACGTTAAAAGTGTTTTATATCTCTTTTAGGTTAAAAAAATGTAGGTATTATCATAGGCCTTGCATACAGCAAACAATGTGCAGTTTTTGCACTTGCATACTCTGTGAGCTGGGGCCTGTGGTCATACTAACAAAATGCCAAAATAACACTATTTAAATAAAATAGCATATTTTCTATACTCTGTTCAAGTTAATAAACACAATCAATTGCGAGTGCCGAGTGGCGAACAGTTTTCTTCGGGCCGCTGTCAAGCCGCAACACCATTGATAATATATATTATATATTATGTATTWATGACATTATGCCATTATAGTGTCTTTATTACCCATCATACACCCATTTGTCACCCCACCCAGTGAAATATCACTTATCAGTATACCTGTCGTGTATTATCGTGGCGCCCCTGCGCGGAAGTTGACATCCGAGGCGCCGAATACGTTTCTCAACTTGAACTGACTGAGTATTACGATCAATGTTTACGACTTAATAATTATGTGACAATTATTTAGTTTTATAATCCTTTTCATCAATTTACAGTAAACATGTCTTTATAGAAATATGTTTTTACTTATAAACCTATTACTTTTTAATAGATGTAGAAGTAAGATAGACTGTACAACACAATATATTCCGGGCAGGGACGGCACGAGGGGGGGGGGCAATCGGGACAGTTGCCCCAGACCCCGCGATTTTAAAATTATAATCAAGGCCCCGCAGTTCTTAATGATATTTCATACCGTTCAGAGATTAGTTATAGTTTGGATAAATATGTAATGTGACTGTTATTTATTTTGCCCGGGGCCTCGCAATTCCTAGCGCCGTCCCTGATTCCGGGGCTGTCGCAGGGGGGAGTTTGTAATCTGTAATAGAATATTGGTAATGGCATTCGTAAGCGATATAGGTACACGTAGTGTTGTAATGTACTTCAATGAATAGTTATTGATTTAAGCAATCTCCAAAAACACACGTATACTTGATTCATTCAAATGTCTAAAGTKAACTTTATGTCTTTAAAAACCATGATGTTGTATAAAATATAATTATTAAAAAGAAAACGAMATTAAACGAACAAATCAAATTTTAAATAAGTTTGGAAAGCTCATTTTACGACTTGCGTATGTGTTAAATTCCAGGTTTCGAAACGTATTAAAATTAACGCAATGAATTACATTTCCATACGCAATATATAATATAAACAAATATATTTTAAAAACAAATAATATAATAATAACAATCGTAATTCATAACTATGCACTGTTAACTAACCGGCGACACAATGGGGTCATGGGGATAGAAATGTTCGTATCCGAATATTAAAWTTTTTTATTGATTCGGATATAAGTAGAACGGGTATGCTCAACATTTTTTTTTAAACAGAATGGGGTTCTTCGTCTGCCTGCGATCATTAACCATTCGATTTCAAGCACTGAAATTTAAGGTGTTCTAAATTCATATTTATAAATCTAACACGTATTAAAAAAAATAGTTATATAAAAMCATTATTAGTTATTAGCATTACTATGTTAATTACAACTTTAAATTGTAAGCTGCAACGTATGAATACGACTGTCTATAAAAAAACCWAAATTCTTCTAATAAAGGTATCATACAAAATATGCTTTTGATGTTTTTATTCAACTATTTTTTGGCATTATTACCAAAAATAATATCTATTTCTAGAATTTACTATACTTTTCACGGTTTTTATTATTAAAGTTAAAAATTACGTCTATAAGATGAATTATTATTTTTAACAATACTAATTAATTATATTATGTTTTGTTATGTTTTTATTCGGAGTAAAATAATTGGAGGAATCTTGGGTAAACARACGAATTGTATGAAATTCGTGTACTTCTGACTTCGATAAAATGTTACTGTGTTTATCTTATGTAATATATAATATATACATAATATATTTATTTATAAACTTGCTTGGTATTAAATTTATAAGGTTGATTTGCGTACAAATATTAATAAATGGCATTTATCGAGCCCCTCTATATAAAACTTGTATTTTTTATTTTAACTTGTAAGTCATACTTAGGAAATCTTTTTCGTTTGCATTAGGATTTTGTCAAACATTGTATTTCAACTACAAAAGTCAATAATTTAAATACAAATAATATGTAGTTATGTGTATTAATATTGTATATAAATATATAATAACAAAGTATGTTTATACATTATATGGATCTTAAACAGTTATAAAATCGGTGATTCGATACACAGATTAACAACTAATTGGTTAGTGGAGCTTGGGAACTTTTTTTTTTGAATAAAATGAGAAGCTAGGTTAGATTTATAAATTATCTGTTTGATTTTTCTCTCTTTCTCACATCATCTAAAAGAGTATTGCGTTATAATTATAAAATCAATATTTCAATATTTCATTCGCTGTATTAATATTGAATTCCGATAAGGGCTATCCATATTATATATTTATAGAGTTCATATTCTGTTCGTTAACTATCATTATTCTTTATTACTATCTATAAAATGAATAACTAATGCATTAATTGTTTGAATATAGACAACCTTAATGCTGTCTTTATCGTAATAGATATTTTTTTTCCAAATTCGTACCATTTCGCGAGACAATAATGTATTTGATTATAGAAAAATATATAAAATTTGCTATTGGTATAATATGGAATAAATCGCGAGCCTTACGCGGCTACTCTCGCAGTTGCTATAGTAACTTACGGTTTTTACCGTCACTACTGTAGATCAATACTATATTCTCCACTCTACCTACCTACCCTTGATTATTCCATGCAGGTCTTTCGTTGTTTACTATATTTACGCACTATCTCGATGTCTGTTGAACACATTGGTTCGATACTACCTATATTATTGCGTTTTGTTTTTTTCGCGAATTGTGTGTTCAGTGTTAAACGGTACGTCTTTTATAACATAAACGAATAGATGTTACTAAATATCGTGTTACACGTAATATTTACAAACTTAAAATCCAGTTTTTTAAATTTTAATTAAGCTCGAAAGTCGCGTTCATAGATCAGGTAAGAAAATTTGTAATCTCAAAATTTAATTTAATTCTCGTCAATTTCCAATAATTAATTAATTCGTTTGTGTTATATATTTATTTTTTAGAATGCATAGTTTTGGTTTACAGTCAGCTTTGGCGATTCGTCGTCAACGTAAGAGACGAGCTGAACTTAAACGTCATATGGAAAGACGTCGCTCAAGTTCTCAATCGATCGAAAGTGGTATTCATGGTTCTAAATCTACTGTGACAAGCCCAACAGAATACCATGGATCAGTGGGTAGTTTATCACAAAGGCCAAGGAGGAGAAAGAGACAACCTAAAATGCTCGATACTAAGGTTGCTTCTACCATTGGCATGTTTCATGTTGGTGTGGTGTTTCTAGTTTTGGGCCTTTTTTTAATTGGGTCTGGCATTATACCTGATGATTATGTTTCGTGGGGTTCAAAAAATTGGGTTAATGAACTGGTAATAACTGGTATAACTTCAAGTATAATTGGCCTCTTTTTGATTGTGTTGAATCATTTCATTACTCGCAAAGCAGAATCAGATTTAGCTGCATACGTGGAACGTCAATTGACCAGAACAAGATCAGGTAAAAGACTGGTATCAGATGCAGAAACTGGTGCTTTGCATACAAAACAACAGCAAAAAGTACGACAACAGAGTCAAAGTCAACAGCAAAATTCTCCTGGTTCAGATCTTGATCAAATAGCTGAAGAAGAAGCATGTAGTTCGGAGTATAGACCTGTTGATCAATATAATAATCCTGAAATTGAGAGGCAGAATCTAGGCAGAACATATAATGCGTATAATAGGGAATTATTGGTAACACGGTGTTATGACACAACTGAAACATAGTAAGTTATAGCAAATTAATTAAATAAGTTTAAAAAAAAAAAAATGCTGTTATTAAAATATATTACTTTTAAGAAATGTAATTTATATTTAAAAATAATTTAATTTTAACTTACATTTATTTCATTTGCCTTTTTATGAATGAATATATACATTGACTTCCTTATATTTAAATATTTAATTAATCTAACCTATATTTTATACTTGTAATTTGATATTTTTATACTATTTAGTTGACTTTAGTGGTTTTGTGTTTAAATATTGTTAATTAACTATAAATGCACAATACATTTAGTAAACTATCAAATTTTTATTGATTATAAAAATTATTATACGTATCGTTTCGCTTATATTATTAATATTTTTTTAATAATATCAATGATAATTCAATTATCAATTTAAAAATACCCTAAATTGTGAAATCACTAGTCTATAAAGTTATATGATTTTAATTTTTGTAAGGGAAAATGATAAGCAATTAATATATTATAATTAGTTATTGTTTTTGTTTTTGTTATGTTGTTAGACAAATTTGTTATGTAATTAAAATCATTGAATCAATTATCGTATCATAATACTACTATGGAGCTAATTTTACAATTATTATATAGAATAAATATAATGTATATTAAATAGTTCATGAAGAATTTCTTTTGGAAGACTGAAAATATTAATTTATGTTTCATCTTTAGTTCAAACAAATATTTTTTGCAATCATTGTACTTTTAATCCTTGCTCAACACAATTCTTGATTTTAAATTATTCAAAATTATACACCGGGGATCAATGAAGTATTAATTGTTTTAAGTTATGCTATTTATTATACAGTTATGATTAACACCACATTAAAGATTAAAACAAATTGTTTCTATGGTTTTAATTCCTATATTAATTGATTCGGTTAATATTTAGTGAACTTACCTCTGTGTTCATAACTATTGTTTGGTTTGAACCATGTTCTTGACTTGAATGAAATAACTTGCACTGTGATTTTTGTGTTTATATATCTAACTTATGATAATTTTAAGGCATATGTAATAATGCATTGAATAATACATTTTTATAAGTAACTTATTATATCATTCTGCTAATAATTCAGTACAATTAATTTATTTAAAATTACTATATTGTATATTATTATAATCGCTTAACATATTTAAATAAAAACAACTATTACTGAGATTTTAATATTCAAAATAATAAAATAAAGTTTTTTAATCATATTATACTTATTAGTTTTCTTATTTATTTCTGTTACAATTGATTTTAATACAAATTGTTGATATGATAATACAAGAAACCAACATTTKATTTTGGACAACTTGTCCTGTATATTATGCTTATGTTATAACTTATGACTTGAGGTRAAAGAGAATAGAATCTYAATTGGTGGTTGTTCAAGTTCATGTGTGTGTTTATGTGGTTATAGTTTGTTTGTATTGAATTATTATCTATTTCATTTAGGTATGCATAATATTTTATGAAGTTAAACATTTTATCCTTTTTGGTACTTGTTTTTATTTATTTAAAACTGTGAAAAATCTTGTTTGTTTCTTTTTAAAGTACTTAGTAATAAAATACATATATTTTTATGTAAATCTAATCACCAAATTGGTATAGCTTATTTGAAATTGATGAAAGTTAATATCAGTGATATTGTAAAATTTTCTCGAACTGAAATTTATGGTGTTCTAACTTCTAAATATTAGGTATAATTGATTTATATAAATATATAATTTCTTTATTTGAGGATCTATGGAAAATATGTATCATCTAGAACGTTTAATATTCAGAATTTGTTATAGATTTAATATAATCCAATTTTCCAACATACTTATTAAAAATGATTTCTGACAATTAATGTTATCTGTAGATATTATATTTATTGAGGTTCTAATAATAATTGATAATTTTTTTGTTGGGTTCGTGGCATTTCAAATTTTACATTATAAACAAAGAAGATAATAAATAATAATTAATGTAATGATTGCAATTCCCAAACCCTATAACTTTTATAACTCACATTTCAAAAAATGTATGTCATACAAAAACTGCTTTTGGCAGTTTGCAAAATTATAATGTTTTACACATTTAGGTATATTACTAATAGTGTATAGTGATATAACTTGTTCGTCAGGCACCTACATATACATATACTACATAATAATTATATCATCAATCAATATCATTACTTATGACATAGTCATATAATAGAGGTAATAATTTGTAATTTTTCTGCWACAAATTTTTTTTAAAATTTATTAATAATAGTTTTAGTGAAACAAAAGTTCAACTATCTATTCATTAATACGTATTATATACAGGGTGATTCTTTTAAGTGGGTACTCTATTATCTCAAAAAGTATTTACTTTTTTCAAAATATTTTTTTCATGGTTTCAAGTTGTTAAAAAACCAACTTTTTATTAAAAAATTATATTTTTAAATATTTTTTATCCTTAT